GATTGTCTTTAATTTTTTCTTTCAGGATTTCTAATTTGGTTTTTAATTCATTTCGAGCAGGATTTGTTTCAGTTGTTTTGTACAGATTTTCAAAGTGTGTCCTCCATATGTCCCCGTTTTGAATGGCCAGTTCTTCCTGTTGTGGCCTATAGAGCTTGTTCCAATTGTTCCAGAAGTTACTGGTATTTATTGACTCCTCCATTTCTTGAAATAATTGTTCTGTGTGTTCTTCCTTTTTTACTCTAAGAGTTTGTTTGTACAGTCTAAGGGCTTCGTGATATTGATGGCGGAGTTCTTCATTGTCGGGATCTCTGTGTTTTTGATTTGACAGATTTCGTACTGTTGTTCGGATATTTTTGCACTCACTGTCAAACCACATTTCTTTGTTTTTTTTTGGTTTCCTTTTTGATGATTTATTTTTCAAATTGCACATGGATGCTGATTGGTGGAATATTTTGGTAATGTCACTAAGTGCCAGATTTATGCCTAATTTATTTTGTGAATATGTGTTCATTATAAATTTGTCCAATAATAATTTGATCGTTTGACTTTCTATTGCATTTTGATAGTTTTCTGTGCTGTTATTTGTCCACTTGTAGGGTGGTTGCAGCTTCAGTAAATGAGAGGGCTGTCTGCGTGATTCATTGGTATGAGTTCGTCTTAAATACAGTGTAATTTTACAGTGGTCTGACAGAGGTGTTTGAGGACTGACTGTGAATGCCCTGAGATGCACTGGGTCAATGTCTGTAATGAAGTAGTCTACAGTACTGTTGCCCAAGAAAGAATTAAAGGTGTAACAACCGAAAGAGTCTCCCCGTATACGGCCGTTCACTATATACAGGCCCAGTGATCGACAGAGCTCTAGCAGGCTTTTCCCACTTCTGTTTGTGAATTTGTCATAATTGTTTCTTAGGTGGTATGAGGGCAGAGAGTGGCTGGTGTTTGTGATATATTTGTCTCCCTTAACAAAGTCTGGTTCATTTCCAGTTCTGGCATTTAAATCGCCACACATTAACACATTCCCTTTAGTCTGGAAATGGCAGATCTCCTCCTGCAGGATGGAGAAGGTTTCTTCACTGTAATAAGGGGACTCAGCTGGGGGAAGGTATATAGCACACAAGAATATATGACGATCTGTGGAGACGATGTCTTTTTGGATTTTTAACCAAATATTAAATTTTCCGATTTGTATATCTGTGATTGAGTTTATGAGGTGTGCTCTATACCATATCAGCATTCCCCCTGACTCCCTGCCCTGAGTCACCCCTCTTAGTTTCGTCGATGGTAGGACTATTTCCCTAAACCCAATTGGACAGCCAGTGGACAAATCTCTAACATTCCATGTTTCCTGTAGAATTATAATGTCAGAGTTCTCAATTTCTTTTTTAAAGTCCGAATGTTGGCTCTTGATACCAAAAACAGAGGACCTCAGTCCTTGAATGTTCCAACATGTGACTTTCAGGGAATATGAGCTCATTAAATAATCACATTTGTTATTTCAAAACAAGACAGACATCAGTATATTGAATTGAAAAATCAAGAAGAATATATTAAATGATCCAAGAAAATAAATTAAATGTATAAATCAGGTGAAATAAATATAAAAGATATCATATTCATATTACAAATACATAGTTTTTTTGTTTTTTTTTCAAGTATAATAAATAATATGAGGTTTCTAAAAATCTGGTATAAAATGAGTATAAAATAAAAATAAACACATAGTACACATGCATACACTTCCATACTTTTTTTCTTTTCTTTTTTTTAAGAGTAATAAATAATATGTTTCTAAGAATCTGATTTAAAATAAGTAGAAATAAAACACTCTCACACATACACACACAATCATACATACATTTTCATTTTCTTAACTCACTTTCTTTTTTTCTTTTGTCTTTTTTTTTTGTGAGTCACTAACCCATGAGATGTGAGCACAGCAGAGTCAACACATGCTGGATGTTTGTGAGGTCTCTGGATGGAGATGAGGCCGGCTGGCTGTGGGCTGTGCTGGGGCTGCAGTGGCTCAGGGATCTGCCGGCCGGCTGGCTGTGGGCTGTGCTGGGGCTGCAGTGGCTCAGGGATCTGCCGGCTGCTTCAGCATAGCTCCGTCTGTCCGGGTGTTGCTGCTGCTGCTGCTGATGATGATGATCATGTGGATGAGAAGGCGAGGGGGCTGCAGGCCTGGTCATGCGGTGTGTTCCAGGGGGGAAGACAGAGCCTGTCGTGGGGTTCCTCCGGTTAGGGCTGAAGTGGTGGAGGGGGTGGTGTTTTGGGGGGTGTCCCTGCAGTAGCTCTATGGGGTGTCCATGAGGACGCTGCGGTGCGCTGGAGCTGCGATTGAGTGCGATGTCCTTCAGGGTTTTGGCAAAGATGGGGACTGCCCTTCTGTGGAGGTGGACATGGTCATATAGGCTGCTGAGATCCAGTGTGGGGTGCTGAGCCAGGTGTACATTGGGCTTTAGGGCACAGTCTCTGGATACTCTAGCATTTAGATGCCGGATGGTGTCTGGGTGGAAGTCCGAGCGCAGTAGCAGGGTGGAGAGGATGATTTTGGAGTTGGGGAAGTTGGAGGATGCCTTCTCAGTCACGTTTATGAGAGCTGTAGCTACTCTCTCTCGCTGAGCTCGGAGGTCGTTGGTGCCGGTGTGGATGATGATGTGGCTGGGGGAACCCAGCTGCTCTTCACACAAGAGCTCCAGGGCCTTCTGTGTGTTTGGGCACCAGATTTTTTTGACATTTTTTCTCGGAAACAGTCTCTTTTCATCTATAAACTTGCCATTGGAGTCCATGAGGAGTATAATCTGAGGCTGTGATTGGCTGTAGGAGTCTGCTGGAGGAGGGCTGCTGGGCCGGGTCTCTGTGGGCGCTGGAGAAGGAGTCTCCTCTGAGCTCTGCTGTTCTCCTCTCGGTGTCGGCTGCTTCTCCACAGCTGACAGGTGTATTGTGTGGGACTCTCTGTCCTCTCTCAGCTTTCTCATCTCCTCCCTCATTACAGACAGCTGATTGCTGTACTCCTCTCCCTGTTTTTTAATTTCTTGAGTTTCTTTCTTAAGGATTTCTATTTCTTTCCTGTAATCCTCTTCTTTCTCAGTTGGATCCGTCTCCTTCACTACTCTATGCATCTCCTCTCTCAGCTGCACCAGCTCCAGCTCCATCTCCCTGAACTTCTCCTTCATGTCGCTGATGATGCTGTGTAGAAGGGAGATCTCCTCACTGTCGTCCCGGGACTGCTCAGCTGTGGACTGATGGCTGGAGGTCGAGGGGTCTTCTGCACGCTTCTCTGTATTAGGGCTGATCTTGTTCAGCTGAGCTTTTTCTTTAATTTGCAGGAAATCCTTTTCAAATTGTTTCAGCTTCCCCTGAATCATTATAGTCCCATTTTTATATAGGTTCGCTGTTATCGTGACATCTGAATCTGGATCTTCCCCTTCCTTAATCTGCAGTTTCCATCCATTACTGATGCCCTTTCTGATTACTGTGGGGTAGTGATGTCTGATTGCTGAGTGCCAGGCTTCGGGGTCTTCTGTGTAGAATATGATGTTACTGACCTCTCCATTCCTGTACAAGTCTGAGTACAGGGTTTCTGGGTTGTCCTTCAGGAGCTTTTCTTTATGTTTTTTCTTTAGGATCTCATTGGTAGCTTTGGATGGGTATGTTATAGGGACTGATTCTGTCATTTTTCAAATATTCTGACAGTTGCTGGCAGTTTGTTGTTGTTGTTGTTTTATGAATGTTTATATCTACTGGAGTTAGCCCTTATATTGTAGCTTAATTAAATCACAGTTTTTGGGCAAATCTTCCTCCAAAACAAAGGTGGTTGATTGTAGATATTGTAGATATTTTGTGTACTCACTCGGAGTTCTTCTTTTCCTCTCTCTCGTGGCAGTTGTGGGACCTTTAAGCCTTCTGTCGGCCTTTTGTCTTTTGGTTGTCAGCTAGTTGTTTTCTGCTGATTTTTCTTGATCAATTCAATGTCCTTTTGTAGTGAATATGTTGCAGAAGGTCTTATTTGATAGATTTTTATAAAAACTGATTGTCTGTCTTGTCTTAAAACAACATTTAAAAAGCAAAAAATCAGGAGCTCATTTTCTTGCTGCTGTTGCTGAACAGTCTTTCTCTCTCTCTGTCTGTCTGTCTGTCTCTCACTCTCTCGTTCTCTCACTCTCTCTGTCTGTCTCTCACTCTTCTCTGTCTGTCTCTCACTCTCTCTCGTTCTCTCACTCTCTCTGTCTGTCTCTCACTCTTCTCTGTCTGTCTCTCACTCTTGTAGCGACATCGAGATGTGCCTTAATTAGCTCAAATGATGCATAGGGAATTTTAATAATTAATCATGAATATGATTAATATATTGCATATTACAGTTAAATTATCGAAATTGAAAATAGATCGATTGTATATATGAATGATCAATCATAACGAATTATAATTCCTCATTCATATATCAATGGTCTCATTTCAGATCGATTATATGAGATAACTTAAAGGGAATCAATTGGCTATCAAACAATCGGTTTGTCCAGCAAACGGCTGTAAGATTAACCCATCAATTAATTCAACAACGTTATCCCTTTTTATAAACTCCAAGAAATCTCAATGTTCCGGCCGTGAACATTAATTTTCTCGTGTTTATAAAATTTACGTTACTGATATAGTAACAACTTGTAAAGCTTTGTAGCTATAGGATCGCATTTCATTGACTTGTAAAATATGAGCATTCAAAACAATCAAGAATATAATGGTTTTAATAAAATGAAACTACGGATACAGAATTCTACATTTAAACACGGGATACATGTATGTACAGTAAACAGTAAAACAAATGAGACAGACGAATAACAAACAGGAGTGAGAGAGAGAGATTGCGAGAGCGCAATATTGGGAGTGAGAGAGAGAGAGAGAGAGTGAGAAGATGAGAGATCTTCTGGTTTGGCAAAATTCATCATAGACACAGAACCTTTTTAGACACCAAGAATCAACAGATCTTAAACCTTGAAAGAATGGTAAACGGTTACTTGCACAGGTAACGCTCTCTGGCGTGATGTGAAGAAAGCACGTGTCTGTGTCTCTGTCCTTGCGTCATGCGTTCACGTGGTCTTTCAGAGCGTGCAAAGCGCGTTAGTTTGAATGCAGGCTTAAAGGTCTTTGGTTCTCCTGGTGTTGCTGAGGAAAACTGTGTCTTGCGTGTGTGTCCTTAGGAGCGGGTGCGTGCTTTCTCAGCTCTTCTGGGCGAGCGTGGTCGCTGCAGATTCGAAGAGTCTCCTTCAGGTTGAAGTTGCCGATTACGTTCATTTCACTGAAACTAAACGTAAGAAAAGTCCGAAGACGAAAATAAAGAAAGATTAAAGAAAACGGAGAAAGCTCCCCGAAGGAGCCATGGATCCTCTCACAGGAAAAGCTCTCATGTGGCGTAGAAAACTGCCTCGAACAGATTGTGGCGTTCGAGTTTTGAAGGAGCTAGAGGCACGCCTTTCTTGCGTGTCCTATCCAATCGTTTGGGAGGAGGCGTGTTGTCAAACTTCTGTGTTTGCGAAAACACACGCCCTCCGGGTCATGTGCATGGAAGATAACATTTAGTAAAAATACACTTCTAAACTGGTATTGATAAAAGTATGCCTCATGTTGCACTTTGGGTCAGTGATTCGATCTTATTCGATTCCTCTGATTCCAATCATACCAAGCGCGACATTCCTAGGGCTAGTAAAATGCAGATACATGATTTTTCGTGATTAAACGAATGTCAAACTGATTACATACCATAAAAGCTTAAAGTTACATCAATTTGGTCACATGGGGATTGTAAAACACAACAAGAGAAACACTTCATACGTTTAAAGAGGTAGGCATTTAAAAGTTCATGAATGAGTGTTTCTGCGTGTGTGTGTGTAGCAGAGTTCAGTTAGAGTTTGCCGGGGTGGTGGACTCTCGCTCACTCCCCCTCCGGGGAGTTTCGTGTGTGTGCGTACTCCTCTGAGTTGATGAGTTTAATCATTTGAGTGGTGGTGATCACGTTATTACACTTATGCTCTGTGTGTGAGGTGATTAAAAGAGAGGAGACCCTAAGGGATCGCGTGGTCTTTGGCCGGACTCACGAGATGTCATCTCGAGTCACATGTTCAGAGCTGGCTCGATTAGTAAGCAAAGCACTTCGTTGTTCATTCATCAGAGAAGACGCTGCATGTGCGAATGAGTCAATGATTTAATCAATTCAAAACACTGTCCCCTTTGTTTCACGAATGGAAGAGACTTTAGTAAATTAGAATCTAGTTAATTTACTCCACATACCAGAGCTGGCTCGATTACCTATCTGATTATCACTACACTCTCTCTCTGTCTGTCTCTCACTCTCTCTGTCTGTCTCTCACTCTCTCTCTCTGTCTGTCTCTCTCTGTCTGTCTGTCTCTCACTGTCTCTCTCACTCTCTCTCTCTCTGCTCCTGAAGGGCTACAAACAGATCTGACTGTAATCAACTCTAAACCCCAATCTACTACATAAAACATTAGACAAACATAAGAGTGTGTAAATGATTACATCATTTTCATGTTTAGGTTAACTATCCCTTTAAATATGATCTAACCTAAATGAAAGATTATGACAACACTGTTGCTGACTATGAACGTACCATGAGGACCTACTGGACATGCAGAACCTGTTTCTGTCTTCCTAATGCTGCATTCAATGTCTTTGCTTTGTTCTTCCTCTTCTTCTGCATCATCTTCTTCTTCCAGTACATCCTTCCCTCCCTCCACTGTGCCTTTCTGTCCCTCCACTGCATCATCTCTTGCCTCAGCTCTTAGCTCCTGTTCTCCTGTTTCCACTGAATCTTTCTTAGATTTTTGGAAAAAATAGCTATCTATGTCTCCCTTCCTCTTCATTTGGGTATTCTGTCACACAAAACAGGAAAACACGTTAAGGTATACTATTACATATACTTTATTAAGAAATAAGATTTGTAAATGTGTACATCCTTCATAAATTGTGCACTAGCATTTGGCCACAATGTGTAAATAACCTATCAAAGTGCCTTAAATCTGTCATTCACTTGTCCGAGTAAAAAAGTTACTTTTCTGTGGGGTGAAAATTATTTTTGGTGGTGTACATATACGGTAATTTATTCTAAAGCAATATCCTCATCAGTGTTCTATCAGCTTTTACTTCTGCAAATTTGTATATTTTTTATATTTATCCAATGGCGTTAATTATTTTTATAAAGGCCATTTTTTTAACCTTATTTAATGTGTGCATCATCTTTCATGTAATTTCAATAAATCTTTCAATAAATTATATGATAATAGTAACACACTATAGCAATATACCAATCAAATTAAATAATGTATACTGTGAAATTATAAATGCAATAAATAATGTTATAAGATTAATGTTTTAAATAAACTTTTGAATATACAAATAAGACATTTTGGGGGAAAAACATTATGATAGCCTACTTTTGAACATGAAACTAAACTGCCTGTAGGGCGGCAAGTCACTTAATAACTGAGACATTGATTCAACCGATTCGTTCAAAACGATGAATCATTTTGTAAAACACTGTTGAGTGCAGTTTTTCTTTTGTTTAGAACTATTTTCGTTGGTAAAATAGAACAAAAACAGTTAATAATGTGTCTAAAATGTAAGTAACTTAACCCTTTATCGGGCGAGGAACCATATTTGGTAACTTAATCGCGCATTCAAACTGACTCTCCCCTGCCTGTTTGCATTGTCGTATGAGCGCATAGATTTCTCCAAGCCAATCAGCGAAGATCAGGCTACGTCACTGATAGTCACACCATGGCATCTGACCAATCAGAAGTTGCGCGGAGCATTTCAAACTTCAGTGCCGTTCCGGATATTGCAAAGTGAGGATATGCGCTACTTCCTACTCCCACATCAGCGCTAATAACTTTACAACAAAAAATGGTAAGTTGATGAAACTCACACATTCTATGGTTGAATAGTTGTGCAACATGTTGAGATAGGTGTTGTTTGCATAGATTTCTTGAAAGCAGTGACATTTGTGGCTTGAAAAATGGTGTGACCATATTTGATCATACGCCCTGTTCACGTAAGATTAGCGCAAGTGATAGGAAGACCATATTTAGACATACGCCCTATGCGTATAGAAAAGCCGTACTAGGGTATTTTTTCTACAAATAATGCATTATAACCACAGTCTATGATTGTAACGTAGGACAATAGTATTTACTAGTGCTTTGGATGTTATCACAGGTTTGAATAACATTATAAAGTGATTCAGTGGGAAACGTAACACATTTATAGACATTTTCAAGCCATAGATATTGAAATATGTGTGGTTTTGGTCAGTTTTATGACCTTTATAACAGTTTTTAATACTTATAATGATTTTTTGCACTTCTTATTATATATATACACTTTATGTGTAAGTTTTATGCCCTTGAAACAGTTTTTATCATAGTTAAATGCCATGTTTTGGTGGGTTTTTTTTACTGTGAGACTTATTACTGCTAAAATAAGTGGTACCACCAGTACTTGACCATACCAAAGATCAGTAGTACAGATCTTTTATAAATGTATACATTTATTTATAACATTTATTTATAAAATATGCACAAATGTGCATTTATAAAACATTCTTAGGAGCACAAACCATAAATGAAAACCCTATTCATTAATTTGGTTTCAAATTATGTTAATGTATTAAAATAAACATTTTTAATTATTTGAGTAATATTTCAAAGGATTTATATTTTTAGCACTTAAGTGTTATGACAGACCAGTCCAATGTTACTCTCTTATTTTTCTTATTATTTATATTTCAGTAGATCTGCACTTCACTGTTACTCAACAAATAACTCAAACTGGGCTTGATATTGACTCAAAAATGTTCTCTCTGTTTTTTGCAGCTATCTACGCGAATCTTTTATGGCAAGAGGGAGACAGTTGTGCCAGCCAACCCCAGCATCAGTGATGATGAGGGCTCTGAGGAGGAAGATGATGATGTGTTAGATCCTGACTTCCTCCCATCCACCCACAACCTAGACACTCCAGGCCCCTCTGCCAAGAGGAAGTGTGTGCAGCCTGCAGTTGAGGTTCTTGATGATGATGATGACGACGATGACGATGATGAAGAACCAGCACCACAAGCAAAGAGGCCAACTAAAAAGGGGAAGCCAGCAGCCAGGCTAACCACCTGGAGGAAGGATGACCTGGACAACGCCACCCTGCCTGAGTACCAGCACTGTCCCCCAGACTTCATTGAGACTCCATTTCAGTACTTCAGCAGGTACTTCAGCCCCCAAGTCATCAAGCACATAACGTACCAGACCAATTTGTATGCAAACCAGAAGAACATCAACACCTCCTTCACCACCACTGAAGACGAGATGATGAACTTTGTGGCTATCCTGATGTACATGGGGATTGCTGAGCTGCCTGCCGTTGAAGACTACTGGGCAATGGAGACCAGGGTCCCTCAAGTCGCAACCCTCATGTCATCGAAGAGGTTCAGGCTGATGAAGAGGCTTGTCCACTTCAACGACAACACCCAGATCACTGGCACCATCGATCGATTCTTCAAGGTGCGGCCACTGTTCAGTCATCTGAATGATGCCTTCAGGAGTGAGCCACAGACCCCCAAGCAGTCTGTGGATGAGGTCATGATTGCCTACAAAGGCAAGACAGCTGGCAACCTGAGGCAGTACATTAACCCTCTGGGGACCAGAAACGCGCCCGCGCGTTTTGCCGTTTTTTTTTCACATAGCAGAAAAATAGACTTAAAATACTCTGTTGATTTTGATCGTACATATAAGTGTTATACATCAATCGATCCTGTTAATTGTCTATTATTTTTCTGTATACTCACAATAAAAACAAAGTTTTGTGCTTTTTGTCAAATAAAGAAAAATAAACATGATGCGAGTTTTGCCTTCTCTCTGTCAGTGCAGTCCATTCTGAAACACGTCCGAAAAATTAACTCTAACTCTGCAAATACTTGTCATACAGGCACGAGAGGTTTTTCTTTATGAAGCTTGAATTCTCTTCTTTTTAATGATGTAATTTATATAAAAAACAAATATTCTCAGTTTATGTAATCTGTATGAAAAGAGAGTGCTGTCAGATTTTTTTCCCCCAGCTCATTACACTTCATTACGCGTTAATCTGACACGCCCACGGAGGACGCGCGCTATTCAAACGCAAATGTCGAGGCAAGCCATGACAATGCCCACATCAGCCGTTCCACCGCGGCGGTAAAATGTGGGGTGTATTTGCTGCCTTTTACCGCCAAGAGGCGCTACAATCATAGACTCTGAAAAGTGTTTGTTTATTCTCTCTAATGCGTAATCTGCTGCCGCACCGCACTGATTCAGAGCGTTTGAAAGCTGGTAGCAGATGAATTCAACAAGTGAAACGTAGTTAAAATAATTCATAATCACAATACTGAAATTAGGCTACTGAAATGAAATTGAATAAATAATGAAAAAGTAAAACATTGCAATAAAAACAGTCACAGACGTATAGACGATAGCTCAGTGGTTAACGCAACAACACGAGCTTCGAGGAGCTTCAATCGACTCGGATCGAATCTCAATGTAGCATACATGTTGTTAACCGATGTTGCCCTACAGCGTTTATGTTTAACCTTCTTGATGCTTAAATAGCTAACTGTTTATAACTGTTTACTTATTTAAAGTCAAGAGTTTTGTTTAATTATTATTACAACATAAATTTGCTACATTCCTGGAACCGCAGCCGCTGCACAAAGGACAAAAACTGATGAAGGAAGATTGTCAGCCGATTGCATCAGAAAATGAAAATGAAGAAGCACGTCTTTAGTCTGCTAAATTATTGTGTAATGTAAAAGAACACTAAAATTACTTAAGTTTGAAACCAAGTTCGAACATTTCAAGGTTTAAATAAAGTGTCGGGACAGTTTTTTTTATTTAAAACAGGGTTGCATCGGGTTTAGAGTTTATTTCTTTTGCGATGCAAAATAAGAAACACTAGGCTAATCTTATTCTTGCGACATTTTAAATTTGTATTGCCAAAGAAATGACAGCTATATTAAACAATTAAAACAGTAGGCCTACAAAACGAAAATTGTCCAAAGCAACATAATTAAATTAAAACATGCGTTTTTCTTTGCCTCTCTCGCGCTGAATCTCTTTTTAACAAGTTTATTTAGTCTCCCTCGCTCTCCATATGAAAGAGGAACATTAACACCTATGCCTATTGTCCTGCGCGCTCGATACAGCACTGAACTGTCCCTCCAACCCCCCACCGGCTATTGGAGTCTGAGGCTGATTTAACACAAAGAGAAGTCACAATTCACACTTAAATCGCTATTCTAGACAGTGTTGATAATGAAGGAATTAAATGATTTAAGTTACATGTAGCCTAGTGATATTTCTGTCATAAAAGCTTATTACTAAATATTTAATTATTTCAGTAATTGATGAAATAAAACTGGTTTGGGCCAGCTTTTTCCAAGCAAAACTAAATATAATCTGAAAAAACGCATGTTAATTTGTTTTCATGAACAAAATGTTCAACTCAATATTAAAGTCTACAGGGATCTTTGGATCCTTTCAACCAGGCATGCAATTTGTGAATTAAGTTTTTTTATTTTTATTTTTTATTCAAATAAATATCGAACCACGGTGCTTCGTGGTAATGCTGCTAAATTAAATAACATGTATTGAATAATTATGAACTTAAATGAAACAATATCGCAACATTTCGACAAATGCATTATTTGATCTGTTTTTACATTTTAATTCAGGGCGATTTAGCCTGCTACATTTAATTAGAGCGAGATTTTCACCCTTGTCTTGTCATTTTCTCATTGGGAAGCGCTTACAGGCTACATGTTTGAGTACATCCTCTGTACCTCTCGTTTTCATA